GGCGAAATGTTCTAACTTCGCAAAACAATAGTGATAAAGAGCAATGCTTCAGACTAACCAGATACAATCTCCCCAAAACCAAGTGGTATTCCCTCCAATACTTAAGAATAGTTCTCTGGGGTTTAGACTACAGTATTTGTCTGTTCATTTTACAATAGCACCAAACAAAACAGATGCTTGTCACTGACTGTTGGAGGACAGTTACTTTACTTACTTTCACCTTCAATATAGTATGTATACAAGTATACTCCACAGGCTGCTTACTTAGGGAAAAGCCATGATTAATCGGCTGCTTTAGTGGTTTTAAGGACTGCAGCAAAATCGTTGGGCATCAGAATAGATTTGTGTTATTTTTGGCAGATTTCCGCATTGGAATTCTGTACTGTTCTGTTTGAGCAAACACCTAATAAACATTACAGTCAACCCCGATTAGTGGAGGCTAGCTAACTATGAAAAGATTTGTATTAAGGTCTGGAAGCGGGCCTAAAGCATACAAAAACATTGCAATGTCTGCGCACCAAACTACCTTCTCCAGTTATTTCTTATATATATATATATTCATTGGTTAAAGTATCTCTGTTTTCCATTTTTAAATTTACCGTGGGACATATACTCAAGTTAAGCTTATTTGCCATTTTGTATTTCCGTGTAAGTTAAAATCAACTTAATTTGTGTTGCTGCCATCTGTTGTTTTTTAGCCTTTTAAAATTACAAAAAGTCATGTCTTTCTCACCTTACATTTACCCTATTTACATTGCAAAACATGATTTATCAAGCAGTTCAAGTTAGTTTGTGTCTCATTATGTAAATTTTAAATGCAGCGACGGACATATTATCTTTTAAAACTGTCTTTGTGTAATGTAACTAGGTTTTGTTTCTCTTAATCTATCAATTAATTTCCCTACGGGATTAATAAAGTATTATCAATCTATCTAGTTAGATGGGGCAAGTTTATAGATGCCGACTAAACTGCATGAGAATATTTAACTGGGATGGAATCCATAGAGAGTTCACTTCCTGCTCGCACCGAAGCTAGTCAGACATTGCAAAGAAAAAAGAATAAGCCAAACTATTAGAGCCACACAGATGCACTTGCTCTGATTTCAAATTGTGGTATTTTAAACTGACTGACTTCTGTTTCGTGAATACGGCACATCAGTCTGTCCTAACCAGAGAAAATCACAGGATTGAATTGCATCATGACTGACAGGGAAGTTTAAGTTGTAAAAAAGCTATTATGTAAATATGCCATAATAACTGCGGTTTCTCTACATTCAGAAACCTTTTCTTCACAATGTTCAGGAATGACAAAAAATCAGCCATAACTAGGCCATAACACAGGCTCCAAAAGCTCTTCTGGATCTCTAATTGCGTAAGTTTTATTAACTTTATGTGGGTATGAAATTGTGTCATTACCAACAAAGTTACGTAGGTACATTAATCTTTAAAAATTATTTTACAACCCAGTTCTTCTTTGAGCAATTTTTTTAACGAAAATTATACTGCGTGTGTACAGTATAATTGCAGGTGATTCTGAATGTTCCGTGCTTCTCGCAAAAGTTAACTCTAAAGACAATTTTAAAACTTTTGTGTAATGTGAAATCTGAGATAAAACAAAAAGGTAGTTACACTAAACCCAGGAGGCTTTAAAACTAAATCCAAGGAGTTTGAGCAGTGTGTGTGAGTGTGTTTGTGCAGTGAAATGTATGTCCTGTCATATTGTCAGTAACGAGAACTTAATGCTTCAAGAAATTAGTAGACAGTCAGAAAAACAAGTTCCTCTTCTTGGAGCGTTTTGCGTTCACAGTGTTTTTTTAATTGAAGCATAACACCAAATAAGGAGCAGTGGATGTACCGGGCCTACTTGAAATGGAACGGCAGATTATCTGAAAAGATCGAACAACACAGCCTTCCATTCTGTTGATAAAATTGTTTGGGAGGGAAAAAAAAAGCATTTGGCTCATATTTTGGCAGGAGTAGTGTAGGTTGCTATCCATTAGGGAAAGGGAAGGAGAAAGAGCGAGTGGCAGTGGAGGAGCAGAGCCAGGGAAATTTGATCATTAAAAACCCTTCTGGCTGTCTCGGGGAATTTAATTAAATTGCTGGAGAGAGCTGTGTTGTAAGGGGGCACATCTGGATCCAATATGTGCAGCTTTGATTTTCTTTTTTCTCTCTTTTTTTTTTTTGCTGTGCACTGGAGAACCCCTTGCCCATCTTCATGTTCAAGAGGGGGGAATGATGGAGCCAAAGCACTCAGGATTCTGCAGGGATCTGAATTCCTGCTTCGCCCCCACACCCCTCCTCTGTGTTGTACTTCCAAATGTAGTTTTTTTTTCTTTTATTTCTTCTTCTATTTTCTTTGCCTTCCACAGAAATGCTACAGGCTGGTTCTGCAGCTGCCTTAATCAGGAAAATAAAGTTGAATATTGTGCTCCGATAATGCGTTAGTAGAATTAACCGCCCTCCGCACGTCAGAAGAAAATTCGAATAGAGTCTGTACCGCAGGATGTGTGATTTTGACGAAAGAACAAGACAAGCTTGACAGAAAAGTCAGAATAATTATAGTTCTGTTTTTGCATTAATGAAAGAAATATAACGTCGAAAAAATCATCTCAAAGCTTGACGCACCTGGAGGGACTGGTCAGAAGTTGATTTAATGATTTTAGGTATAGCAAACAAGCAATCCCTGGGCTGGCGTGTAACCGCTTCTCTTCTGGGATATTGAACATTTGTTGGCGATAATGAAACAGAAACTGAGATTCATTGAAAGATGTTTTTTTACAGGACCACTTAATAAGATCATCTCACTAAGTTATCAGCAATTATATTGTTTTAATATCTATTACCGTGTACCAATCTAGTACCATTCTCTAAGTCTCTTATAAACACAAAGGCACTGGATGGATCTTAACGCAAAATATGAAAGGTTAGGAAACTTAAATTCAGTGGCAAAACATAATAATGTCATGGCGGTATATACAGTGAATCCAAATCCAGAATTAAGAAAACATCATGCTTTACTTATTCTAAACTGCTGTTCTTCTGTGAATGTAAACTCTTGACCACATTTTTATATTTTATATGTTATGATAGCTTGATCGCCTGTTTTTTTTCTAAGATTATGTTAAATGTGAACAGGGCTGGACTCCATGGTAACGCAGGACACATTTTTAAGAAGTATCCGAGCTGAGCCGTTTAATTCGATTATCAAATTCTTCTGAATCCCATCATTTTGCAGGGCTGAAGGTGAGACGGGATATGATAAAAGCTGAAATTAAAAATGGGGAAATAAAAGCTGTGTTGGATATCACAATCATCTACATGATCTATATTGATATCACAATCATCTATATTCTTGATATGCGCAGTGCAGTGGTTGGTAATTGCGCGTGTAGGTCAGTTTAAGGTCTACTTTAAAGAGATTAATTCCACGCTGAAAAGGACAAAACGCACACAAAGTTTAAGCAACGGCGTACTTTTCAAGTGCCACTGAAAATACTGTATACAGTAAGCGATTTTCAAACCGTTAAAGAAGTAATCCTTGTTGAAACACAGTGCATTTAATTTGTTTAACAGCGAGGACTTTATCGCTGCTTGTTCCTCTGGATCTTTGCGCTGGTAGATGAAGTCCATAACCGGTATTTTTAATTTTTCCCTACAACTAAAAGTTCAAATGACTACCTGAGTTTAATGGAAAGTTGCAAGACATAACTACAGACCTAGACTATAGTACAGTAATAACAGTGATATAGCGCTCCGTCTCTCCATCTCACCGACTAAATTTGTACAGAACACACTGAGTTTAAAAATATAAGGCCCCCTGTAGACAGTTATATAAATCTTTGCGTGTTTAAAGAAACTTAGCGGTGCCCTTTAAGTTATTGTGAACAGGAGAAAAAGAAAAAAACGGCAGCGCTTGCTTAGGAACTCGCTTCTCTCTTTGATCGTCGAAAAGGTCATATTTCATTGCAAATCCTTTCGATCCGACGGGTTAGAGGAGGCGGTTGTGAAACTGAAACTTCATGTCCAGAGATTTTCCAATTCCTTTCTATACAGTTGGTTTTGTTCGTCTGTGGAAGAACAAGTCGGTGCAAAAAGGACGAGTTCACTGTAATAAATTATTACAATAATCCACTCAATTAAAAATGCATAAAAAAGACAGCCAAGAACTATTTTGTTGATGGGAAACGTATACTTATATGCATACTGCTATTTGCAATTCAACCTCAATATAATTGGACCAAGATGTACTATAGCCTAGCATTAAATACAATTAAACATGAAATGAATATGTTAAGCTGAAACTTGGTATAATACTGCGGTGAAGTCAGTTATGATGACAGAGAAGTAGCTCATATGCAGAAATCAAAAAGAGAGCAAGATATGGAAAACCGTTAGTAGTCTTCGCATCGATGATTGTTAAAATAACCATATGGTTTGAATTATGTAATTGTGGATGTTTATTTTATTTGATTGTAAATTAGGTTTATACCCCCAGGGTATTCTGCCCTTAAGAATACAAAAGTAAAGATTGGGTGAGATTTTTTATTCTCATATATGTATTTTACTCATAAAAGTCTTATTTTTCGTTCACACAAAAAACGATCAAAATTAATTTTCCTTAACTCTAGGCTATTCAAAATCACTTGCATTCTTAGTGACTTGTCACAATTTGCCATTGCTGGATGGTGTTTTTTATATACTTTTTAAAAGACAGTACATAAATACACGTATTTATCTAATGTTAAATTCCGCATTGAAACGTGCCGTCCTCTATTTCATTCTGTTGAAAAGGAAACATAATTTTAACTTGGAGCCACTGGTTCTAATTAAATAGACTCGTTCTTGTTAATCCTAGGGGGTTGAATGAAGATTTGAACATTTGGATGAGGACATAATTATCTCATTAGAGCCAGCTCCAAGGGTCTCCGGGGACATGGTGCTGATTTAATGGTGGGGAACTTTTAACTCCTTGGAGTATTTTCGGGGAGAAACTTTTTTAACCTCAATACGGATATGAGGTCCGAGTGTCAGTGCGGGTCAAACCCTTTCAAACAAAACTGCAAAAACTTAGTCGAGGAAAGATGACTGAGTCACACAACAACTGCCTCCAAAGGATTTACTAATTTTCATTTGTTGATAGAGGCTCTAGAGAAACAAACTTAAAAAAGAACAAGTTTAACTCTTCTGGCATCGAGGAGGGGAGGGGAAAATTGTATAACTTAAAAAAACTTGTGGGGGTGTGGAAATTGTTATACTTTTTTAACAAGACGTCAGGCGGAAAGGCGGAAAAAATTGAAGGGGGGAAAATTCTATTTACTTTCTTTAAGTGGTCCTGACATCTGTAGACTATCTGCTGAGCAAGTCGCAGAGAGCAAGGGAAAAAAGGAGAGACAACGTTTTTTTAACATTTCATTTGGATAGGAGGGATGGACACAGGGTATTTGGTAGAAAAACAATTTGCTCCTACTTCTCTAAGCAGGATGGACTCCTTAGATGGCAGTCAAAACAGGAAGAATTTTACCGTCAGCCACCTCCTGGACCTGGAAGAGGTGTCCGGAATGAACGGCGTGAAAGAGCCAGGCAGATCGATCAGAGAAGCCGGGAAAGGGCTTCAGGAGCAGTCCGGAGTAAGCAGTGGAAGTGAGGCAGCATTGCAGGACAGTAAGTGTTTTTTTTTTAGTAACGTTGAAGAAATCGTAATTATGTGTGGATCGTGTCTCGGGTTAGGTTTGTGAACATAACCACCGTTTAAAAAATGCCGTGTGTAATGCGCATCAAGATTTATGCCTTCTGTTTCGGGTAATAAAAAGTGATTTATATCCACATTAATAGAGCTTTCACTAAAACCATTAAGGCTGGTATCTTTGCAGTATTAATGCAGAAATGCGAGGGGTATACTGTAGGTGGCACTTAAATGTTGGGCACCTCTTAGCAAAATCTGAACGCACTTCGCTCCAAGTATCAAAGGGTAAAGATACACCAATTTAATTATTCTGCAAAACCACGGTATAAACAAGGCGGGACCATCGCTGTTGCCTTCAGAAATAAATGATCCTGTATTGTTAGGGGGAAATGTCTTTTAAGGTAGTAGCTGTGCATTCCCACTCCGCTAAAATGCTCATGATGAAAAGCCGAGGTACGTCTACCGAGACGAAATAATCCCAACGCGAATAATGTTTACGAGCTATCCAGAAAACACTGGAAAGTTAGAATATTTCTGTAACCAAATCTAGTCACCGGACATCTCATTCCAGAGGCCTAATTCAACCGATGAATTTCAGTCGGCTGCAGGATCGTAACATTTTTCAGCAGCTCATTAAAATGTCATTACTGTTTGTTTTTGTTTGTCTGTGTCCTAAAGGGTTTGTTCGTGGGTATATTCAATCACAATACTGTAATATTAAAAGGGTAGCAATTTACCTCCGACAGTTCATTTGCTGCAATTAGGCTCCGGGTTACCGCAGCCTTTAAAAGGAGCAGGCATCTTTCTACAAATGGCCGGGTAGATTGATGTATAGGTTTGATAGCACAAGCCGGTTACTTGACACCCTTTAGCTCAGAACAGTAAGCTATACCTTATTATGTGGAAGGAAGCCTTCGAAAGTTAGTCATCATTTATAAAGTACGATAAAAGTACTGATATATCATCATAAAACGTTTTCAGGCAACAAAGTACACTGTGTTCTATTCCTTGAAAAGAAGAATATGACGCTATCCAGCTATGTTTTCTGAGCTTTCAGGTATCTTCATTTTACACTGATTAGATAGCAGACATCCCTTCTTGTTCATATGCTCTGTGTTGATGTCGTTGGATTAATGATTTAAAGCCTGTAGGAGTGTCATCTCGTAAAGACTTGGGTGGATACGAAAGCGCACAGCCTATAAGAAGTGACCACTGAACTATACAGTTCACATAAAACAATAGCTATTCAATTACATTAATTATTGGAATCAATCACAATAATGTATTGTTAACATTCGCGTTGTTGAAGCATGTCCATGATTGCAGTCACTTGGGGAAATGCGTTATGCTTGCCTACTGTGCACACGCCTACTCCAGGGCTTCTAAATACAGTAGATAACTACTTTAATGGCGAAATCTGAAGATGCCATTTACAATAACAAACAAAAATGTGGGTTGTTGTAAATATGTATTCTAATTCGGTTGTTTTGATAATGCTATCCAAAACATATTAAACTTCTGTTATTGAAACACTTTTCACGCTTTAGGTTTATTCGTACACTACACAGAAATACTGTAGCACTTAGTGATTACTCTGATGATGATACAAATTCAACACGCCAAAAACATTTTAAGAGCAAAGTAACCGTTACCTTTACTTCCCATACAATATTTTTGCTATCCATAACATGTTAAACATATGTTATTAAAACACTTTTCACGCTTTAGGTTTATTCTTAGATTACATAGAAATACCGTAGCACTTAATGCTTCCTCTGATAATGACGCAAATTGAACATGCCCAAAAATGTTGCAGACCAAAGTAACCGTAACCTTTTCTTCTTTGTGTATTCAATTTTACGTTTGTAAGAATCTGTGTCAAATTGACTTTAAGCAATTTAGCGATCCCTTTTAAATCATTCCACAACCACAACTTTCATGCAAGTTTAGGGCACGTTAAGATTGTCTGGCTATTCTTATGATTGCTTAAACTGAATGAAATTGAAGTTAAAATTATTTCACCTATGTTATTTTTGTTTATGTCACTTAAAGTTGTATGTACGATAATTTTATTTAGCAATTCTATGTGACTGAAACATTTTTTAAAGTGGAATTCTGTAAGAGAAGGTAGACTTGCACAAATTACACTTCGCTACTAACTGTGGCTTGATGCAGCAGTACTTTGTTCCGTTGCCCGCGGATCTAAAATCACCATCAAATACTGTTGATGAAATTTGCATTTTATAAATATAGATAATTATGCGATATCTGCCCATTTTCTTCTAAAGCATCACAAATATTTTAAAATGCAAACAATTTTATGGTTTAGGTTGCTATAAATATAAGCTCAATGTATTTGAGAATAGGAATGTTTCACACTTCTGATACCGAATACAAACAGTCTCAATTCTGAAGGAAATATTTTCCCCTTGATAGCACCTTATGTGCGGTAGGTCCCATTAATAACGATATAGGTCTCGATTTCTAACGAACGCTCATTTTTCGGATCAAGACGTCGTGATACCATGCGTTGAAACAAAATGGTATTTGGAGGACATTCTTGCCTTTATCTTTAACATATTTTTAAATATATATGATCATTCTCTCCACCTACTGTATACTGTTATAATCACAAATTGATTGTATTTAACAGAGAATAATTATTGCCGTTTTTGTTGAATTCCATCATAATTGAACTACCTTGACGAACATTTTGAATTGCTACAAATTATTTTTATTAACACACTACCCATTGCAAGAGATAAAAGTATCATTGATGCTGACACGTTTATCTTAAAGGGTAAATTTAGTGTTAGGCCTGAATTGAACAATACCTACGATAGTGTTGTAGCTAATGCTGAAGCACTAAATACTCCTATACTATACTCCCAATAATACACTCCCAATAATAAACAACCTTTAGAGCACAATGTGAAAACTCCCGTGCGAGCCTCAGTAGCTGAAGGAGAATTAACGAAACACCTCGCCTATTAGGTTTATGTAGTCCGTCGGGGAAATATAAATTTAAACAGCCACCGCTCGGAGACACAGCTAAACGAAACAGAAGTGCTTTCTCCTTCTGCAAACACGCAGACGGAGGACTTCACTTGATGGCATTTATCCATCCCTGTATCTGCTCTCCAGTGGACGGTTGATTTATTTAGTCAAGGTCGATATTTATTATTGCTAGAGCTTTACTGGGTATAGGCGGTAAGCACAGGAAATGGGTACCCAAAGTTTGTGGTAATTAACTACAATATGGTTTAGATGTACATCCCTGGCACTGACATCACACAACTCATCTGACACTGCAACAACAGTAATGATCTAAAAAAGAAAGCAGTGAAGCACACGATAGTTTCTTATTTTTACCTATATAATTCCACTACTTTTTAGAGAGAAAATATTGACACAGATGTTAAATAACTAGTGCTTGTTTTACAAGCCACAGGCGCAGTATACCTGAAATGTGTAGTAAAATGTTTCAGCATTAAAAAAAACTCTTCCCAGAAGATTTTCTCACAACAAAGCATACAATTTTATTTGACTAACCTGGTGTAAATGTGTTACAGTAGTTTCCCTTCAAAAATATTAGATTAAAAGCGTTTCTAAGATACTTCTTATTTAAAAAAAAGAAAATACGGGAAAAGAATATCCCGCCGTTACCTGTAATAACTAAAACATTTTTAGTTTTGATTATAATGTAATTTTTGCACTGGGTACGGCTTTAAAATAGGTTCTGTTAATCGTTGCCATTGAATACGTGTAACATTTCTTCACATAAATAAGCCTTGGAATTCCGTTTGTTGCATTGAGCGCCTAAGACAATCCATGTAAAACAAATTAAGAGAACACTTCACTTGTTAAGCGCCTTGGGGCACCCTTGTTGTGAAAGGCGCTATATAAAAATAAATCGAATTAAACTGAATTGCATTCTAACTCATGAGAAGGAAACGCAGCCGTGCTCTCTAAGCTGGGTCCCACATGGTTTGCATGTACTACTGAAAGACACTACAGTGCACAAGGGTCTCATCACAGAAGCAATAAACATACTGCCGCGGATTGCACCCTCTCTGAGAGCTTCCACGAGTTGAAGAATGAAGGCGTTTATTTATTCAACACAATGCGAGAGACGCTGGAAACCAGGAGTCCTGATCTATCCTTGTAATTTACTCACACTGAAACTCACCGAATTTGTCCAGTCCACCCGTTTCAATACAAAAACCAGTCTTTCCCTGCACACCTCCTCTAACAGATTCTACACAATCTGGACTACACAAACCAACTAACTGCAACACCCTATCTCAGCTTTGAGACATCACACGTATTGAACATTATAGCGGCCCGTCTTCACGACTTTTTAGTTCTTTTAAAATAATTGCTTTGGTTGGATTAAGAAGGGTATCGAAGCCCAGATTGAGTTAAACACAGCCATGGAGGGTCACCACCTGATTAAACTCTCTTCCCTTCAATTTACTCCTAAACAATTACAATTCATCCCAATCTTTTTTTTTTCTAGTCCCCCGCTTAAAATATGAGCAAGTAAATAAAGTCTTGCTGCTTTCACGGACTTTAAAAAAAAAAAAACAATTGATCTCAACAATCAAACACTGCTTTGGTTTGTCAAAACTGGGCAATTTAAATCGGAACCCTCCTGAAGTCTTAGAGACAGAATCACAGGTGAATTTCCAGCGACGTGGATTTAACAATTGTTGTTCTGTCTGCTTGACTTTAAATGCCAATAATAAACAGTTAAACCCATGGAATATACTTGATTATTCCCAGTGAGGACAAAAACTACCACTTCCTAACCTCCTCTGACCTCAAGGTAATTCAGTCGGAGTGATGAAAGTAGTGTTAGTGAAAGGTGAAGGGTTAGCAATACCCCCAGTCTAGGCTATGGTCTTGGTAATAATGAACAATAAAGTAAGAAAAGTGGTAGGGTAAAGTTCTAGGTGAAGTAGACACAATTACTGTT